GGCTTTGGGTTTATACTGCTCAGTGGTAGAGCACATACCTGCCATGTACCTGGGGGTGGGGGAGACAGAGACAGAAGAGGTGAATAGCTTCAATGTGATCTACAAATATCCTACATCTCACATATTTAGGGGCAAAAGATTGACAGTTTCCCCTTAAGACCAGGAAGAATGTAAGGATTTCACTCCTTACACTGTTACTATAGTTCTGGAAACATTTGCTGGTGTAATAAAGAAAAAAAGAAAAGAAAAAAGCATTTACCTCTAAAAGAAATAATTAAATTGTCTCTATTTGCAAATGAGATTAGTACCTATATAAATAACCTAAAGAAACCACCAGTAAAACTCCCAGAACAAATTCAGCAGGTCTCAGTACATAAGCAAACATTAAAAAAAAAAATCAATTGTATTGCTGGGTGCAGTGACACATGCCTGTAATCCCAGTGGCTCAGGAAGCTGAGGCAGGAGGATCACAAATTCAAAGTCAACCTCAGAAATTTAGCAAGGACCTAAGCCAACTTTGAGAAACCCTGTCTCTAAATAAAATATTTAAAAGGACTGGGATGTGGCTCAGTAGTTTAGCATGCTTGGGTTCAATCCCTGCTACCAAAACAAAAATAAAAAGAAATCAAGAAATCAAAGGTCTAAATAAATGAAGAGACATACCATGTTCATGAATTGGAAGACTCAAAATAGTACAAATGCCAGATTTCTCCAAATTTATATACAAGTTTAATACAATTTCCATCAAAATCCCAACAAGAATTTTCTGAAGACACAAACAAGTTGATTCTAAAATGTATACGGAATGATAGCTAAAACAGTTTGAAGAGGATGAACAAAGTAGGAAGAATCACTTTATGTTCTTTATTATAGCTCTGTAACCAAGACTGTGAGGTGTCGTCGAAGAGTTAAACACAAAGGTCAATGCAAAAAAAGAGACACCCAGAATTAACCGCACAAGTTCATCCAATTGACCTTTGACAAACACAGAAAAGCATTTCAAGGGATGAAGTTTTTTCAATAAATTATACTGGGGCAGTCAAACATGTATAGGGAAGAAGTAGGAAGAGAGGAGAGAAGAGGGATGGGGAGGACAACCATGACCTCAGTAGCTCTCAAAGATTAGCTCTAAACATTTAAACCTTTTAGAAAAAACATTAAGATCTAGGACTAGGTAAAAACTTCTTAGACTTGACAACAAAAGCATAAGCTGTAAAAGAAAATATTGATAAATGGGGCCTCATTAAAATTTAAAATCTGCCAGACACAGTGGTGCATGCCTATAATCCCAGCARCTTGGGAGGCTGAAGCAGGAGGATCAAGAGTTCCAAGCCAGCCTCAGCAAAAGCGAGGCATTAGGCAACTCAGTGAGACCCTGACTCTAAACACACCCTTTGTTACAGAAAGGCCTCAAATCCAAAATAATAATAATAATAAAAAAACCCACTTGATCCAATTTTTAAAAGGGGTAAAAAGCTGGGTGCTGTGGCCCACACTGACCATTCCAGCAATTCAGGAGGGCTGAGGCAGAAGGATCAGAAGTTCATAGTCAGCCTCAGCAACTTAGCTACACCCTGTCTTAAAATTTAAAAAGAAATAAAAGGGCTGAGGATATAGCTCAGTGGTTAAGTGACCCTGGGCTCAATCCCTGGTACCAATAAATAAATAAATAAGCAAATAAAGTATCTTAGCTATTAAAATGACTAAAATACAAAGTAGTGACAACACTGAACATTAACAAAAATGTAGAGAAACTTGCTCACTCACACACTGCTGGTGAATGACAGTTCGGCAATTTCTTCAAAAACTAAACATGCAACTACCTTATGACCCAGTGGTTGTGTTCCTGGGCACTTATTCCAGAGAAATGAAGACTTTTCTTCCCACCAAAACTTGTACTTGAATGTTGATACCAGCTAATTTTATGATAGACCAAAACTGGAATCAACCTGTGTATACTTCAATAGGGGAATGGCTAAATCTACCTGGAATAGTACTTAGTATGCAAAAGGAAACAACTATTGACACAAGCAGTAATGTGGATAAATTTCCAGGAAACTATACTGAGCAAAAATAGTCAATCACCAAAAGTTATTTATAATGTGATTCTATATAAATGAGGCTTTAGAAATGAAAAACAGATAAGCTGAAGCCCAGGGTTTGTGACCCAGCAGGAAGTGGCTACAAAGGGACCACTAGGGACCTAGACCTGCCTGGGGGACCCAACTGTGCAGAAGTTAGCACACACTCAGCACAGGTGGGGATGGGGGAGTTGGAATTAGATCAGGGACCCTATCAAATCAATACAGTTTGAGATCTTTCATTTGAGCCTACAATTATTTCAAAAAAATTTTTCAAAAAATATTTAATTTTCTCGTTTTAGGTGGACACAATATCTTTATTTTATTTTCACGTGGTGCTGAGAATCGAACCCAGTGCCTCACACATGCTAGGTGAGCACGCTACCACGTGAACCACATCCCCAGCCCCTCAAAACAAATTTAATTTTTTCAATTTGAAACATTCGACTAGGTTGTCCAACAGTGCAATCTATGGCCCCAGACGTGTGTCATCTCTCTGCTGGCAACACAAATCCTCTCTGCTGACTGTCTGAAGGGTTCTCTCCATTTCGGTCAGCATGGTTATCCTAATGTGCTACAGAATATTTACTCCTCCACCCAACAGCTCCTTAGTACCCACTGACCTTCCTTCCCTTCCCACCTCTCCCTACACTCTTCCAGGGTGAGGATGCCACTATTCTACCCTCTTCTTTAAGGTCAACTTTTTAGCTTCCACATATTTAGGGATTTCTATGAAGGCCTCATCACCTAGGTACGATCCATCCCGCTTACTCAATCTGCAGTCCCAGAGGACCACATTGGGAGGTCCAAATTTCTCATGAGGGCTTGGTCGTTATGGTGACTAGCCCCCTCCTGAAGCCATCCAGGTCATCACCTAAAACTGTGTCATTAGGTGCTCCTGTCATTCAAGAAATTCTAAGGGAGAGCTTGGGAGGCTGAGGCAGGAGGTTTGCAAGTTCAAAGCCAGTCTCAGCAACTTAGGCCCTAAGCAACTCAGTGAGACTCTGTCTCTAAATAAAATATAAAAAATGGCTGAGGATGTAGCTCAGTGGTTGAGTGCCCCTGGGTTCAAACACCCCCCCMCACACACACACAACTGAACCAAAATAAATAAATAAAAATAGAAATTTCAAGGAACTTAGGAGCTATGAAGAAGAGACTCCTATGGCCTCCAGCACTCAGGAATTAGAAGTTCTGCTAGAAACTCGGGATAGAGGTGAAATGTATTTTTCTAATCGTCACACGTCCATAGTGCCGTGTGCACACCTATGTGGTGCAACAGGCATTCATTTAATGATGACCAGGGTTAGGGCACAGCTCAATGGTAAAGCGGGGTCTATCCCCAAACAAAAGGAAACAAGGCATGATTTTAGGCTCCCACTGACATGGTAACCATCTGGTGGAGCTGTGAGGTCCCAAGGAACATCGGGGTAGCCTTTCCAGAGCAGTCTGAGCAGGGCCTGGTAGGTTCTACCTGAAAAGAGGAGGCCCATTCCAGTCCACGGGTCCCCAGAAAAGCCTCGCTGGAGAGCACCTGAACGTTTAAAGCAGGGGCCTGGACGTCTGCCTCTAAGCACTTAACAGTTCCATCTCAGATGAAACCTCTGAGCCTTGGGCAGCAGCAGCCTCCTCCAGGGCTGGTGAGGTTGTGGGAGGGCAGAGATGAGAGCTTTGACACTCAGGACACCTGTCGGTCAGCAGCAGTGGAAGACTGTGGGCGAACGTCCTCTGTGAAGGCCAGGACAGTAAGTGACCCGGCGTCTGGGGTACTGTCTCTGCTGAGCTCCCAGCTCAGCCCTGCACGGTGGGAGCAGGCCCAGCTGTGCTTCAGTGAAACTCCAGGCAGCGCGCCGCCTCCGACTGCACGTACCTGCCCCTCAACCTTCTGAAAAGAAGAGTCAGGATCGTGCCAACTCGGGCAGCAGGATGGGCGTGAACGGGGTGTGAGGAGGGGGTGCAGCCAGGGCAGGTTCTCCCAGGGCTGGGTGGAGGCGGGCAGGTCCCAACCCAACTCAACCTCGCGGGCATGGTGGAGCCGCTTCCTGTCATGACAGTCAGGACCAAGGAAGTGAACAAACTTGTCTCATTTTCGTCAAATGTCACCAACGAGGGACCGCTGGGCTAAAACACACCTGCAGAATCTATCTGCTCCGCACAGGAACCTGAATGAGGAAACACTAGGTTGAAAGCCCTCGCTGCTCACACGGACTCAAACGCCCCAAGCCCAGCGCGGTCAGCACCAGCCACGGCCAGCCCCGCCCTCGGGCGCCCAGCGCAGCGGCCGGCCCRAGCACCTGGCGCACCTGGGCTCACGCGCCGACCCGCCGCCTGCGGACAGGTGGGGCCGGAATCCGGGCTGCAGCCAAGGTCGCTGAGGCCCGCCCAGCCGACCAGACCGGAAGCCTCGCGGCCGGCCGTTGAGCGGGTGCCGACCTCCGCCAACGGCCGAACCCCGAAAAAAACCGCGGAGGCCGCTCTCGCACCGCCAGCCGCCGCCCAAACTGCGCCTGCGTGTCGGAGGGGCGGGCGGGCGCGCGGGATGGCGCCTGCGCGGTCKACGGGGTCCAGCCACCCGGCGGGGCCAGCGCGCGGAACTGCGCTTGCGTGGTGTGCCGCGAGGGAGACTCCGAACACGACCGGCCTGGCGCACGGGATTGCGCCTGCGTGGTCGACGGCGAGGGTGTAGGTCTGTAGGTACGCGCTCTGGCTCGGAACTCCGTACTCAGGAGTGCTCGGGACTGCGCCTGCGTCGTCTACGCGCGTGGGGAACTCCAAGCTGGGCGGGCTCGTGGGACTGCGCCTGCGCCATCCTCCTGGCCCCGCCCCTCCCGCGGAGCCTTCGCCTCCTCGGCCGCTGGCTCCGCCGGGCCCCGGGCGGAGCAGGTACGCGGGGATGCGCCTGCGCGCGCCGGCCCCGCCTCAGCCCCGCCCCCGCGCCGCGCGGGGCCCTGGGAGGGGCGCAGCGTCCGGCGGCGTCGCGGGCGGCGGGGCCGGGGCCGCGGGAGGGGCGGCGGGGGCAGACAAAGCGGCTAATGAATGGGCGCGCCCGCCGCGCCGTTCCCCGTCCCCAGCGCGCGGACCGCGCCGCGCCGAGCCGGCGCCCAGGTGAGTAAGCGCAGGGGCGCCCGGACCGCGAGCCGTGTCCTCCGCCGGTGCGCGCCGCGCGGGGCGGGCGGCCGCGCCATTGTCCGCGCGGGCGGGGCCTGCCGTGGCGCCGCCCGTGACAGCGCCCGCGGGGAGGCCGGCCTCGGGGTGCTCGGCGCGTCCCGGCCGCCGCCGCGGGCTCCCGAGCCCCATGCCGCCGCCGCCGGGTCGCCGCTGCCGGCGCCCGGGCTCCTTTTGTCCCTCGCGCGTGGCCCGCACCGCTCGGCTCCCGCCGGCGTCCGGCCGGTGGAAAGGGAAGTTGTGCGTTTGCAAGTTCGCTGGGTCGGGCCGCGTGCGTACTTGGGAAAACCCACTTGGCTGAGGACCCGTGTGCTTGAGCAGGCCACCCCTGACTTCCTCCGCGAAACGCGCTTTTTGTGTGGTCGCCCTTATCGTGGTGGCACAACTGCGAGGCTAGGGCGAGTTTAGTTGCGGGTTTTAAGAATTTCTGCGGATAAGCCAAGATTCAGCTATGAGTTAATTCCGGTTACTAAACAGTTACCTTGGAGCGGAGACTGCAAGGGTTGGCCCCGGGGGTTGCAGTGACTGAAGGATACTCACTTCCTGGAATCCTCAGATGATATCTGCCCCTCGGGAAAAGATCTAGTGCAAGTTAAGAGATTCTGTGAACCTTTAGAAGGTTTCCCAGTCAGTCTTTTAGGCACGGGACACAGCTAATCTACGCTGGAAGAGAGCTAAGAGCCTTAGTCCACTGGACAGGTGATTACTTTACCGTGCCCCCTACCTGTGTTCCCGCTAATTCCTGAATGCAGCAGTGGTTGATGTGTGTGGGTGCAGAAGCTCTGCTCTTTGATGTCAACACACGTGTGCACACACAGGTTCCCCAGTGCCTAGGAGGACAAAGCTTAAGTAAATCATGAGGGGAACTGATTGAATTCTGCATATGTACAGTGAAGCTGATAAGCAGTATTTGTTACTGGGAAAAAAAAAAACCTGTGTATGTTTCAGATCATTGGCAGGCCTAGAGTTTGCAGAGTGAGAACTGGGAAGTGGACCTCTGGAAGCATGAATACAGTAAGTGTCCATGGTCAGTGCCATTGTCTTTTTCACTTTATACCTGTTTTCTCTGTGCTTGGCTTCACCTACATCAGTATTGACTTCTGTTCTGATTTCCTTCTCCTTCCTAGTGGTGGTCAAGAGAAGGAAACAGGCGAATGCCTGTTGGGCTTAGTGACTTGGGATGGAGGCCATGCTCCTTGGAGAACCCTCCTTAGAGGACACATGGGCTCTTCTGTGGGCATTCTCTTTTCTTCTGAGCACCTGCTCAAAACAATTCAGAGTCAGCAACTTATTCCTCTGACTGCCCTTTGATTTTCAAGTCTCAAGTCTAGAGGACATAAGTTGCAGAAATCATTGTTCTTACAGTTAGTTTTGCCCTGAATTGAGCTGCAGTGTTCCCTTATCCCTCACTGTCTTTGAGTGGTCTCACTCTGTCTGTGCCTGTGGGGTACAGCCACTGGCTGGACTCACCACCCCGCTTTAGGCCTCCACCTTTTCTGCCCTGGTCTTCCATGCCCTCTCCTTGCCCCAGTTTATAGTACCTGGGTCTTTTCTCATCCTGGAATGCCCCAAGTCATTTCCTTGCTAATTATTTATATGTGTTTGATAGTTCAAATTCTGGAACTCACTACTAGGAATAAAATCAAATCTTTCCTGTTTCTGAAGCAAAGGGCACCCAGAGAGACAGTCACTTCCCTTTTGGGTGTTCGTGGTTCTCTACCTTGCACCTGGGGCTGTGTGGCTCTATAAGAAGGAGGGCTGGGGATATAGCTCAGTTGGCAGAGTGCTTGCCTTGCATGCACAAGGCCCTGGGTTCAATCCCTAGCAACACCAAAAAAAACACTAATCGGGGGCTGGGGATGGGGCTCAAGCGGTAGCATGCTCGCCTGGCATGCGTGCGGCCCGGGTTCGATCCTCAGCACCACATACCAACAAAGATGTTGT